TTGCTTTAGTCGAGGGTTGATTCACTGCTTTGTATCGATTGAGAACCTCTTTCGATAGAGGGAGTCTAGCTCAGAACGCCTTGATTGGTTGTTCTAGAGAAGGATACGTCCCTCTAGGCAATTGACTCAAGAGGGCCTTGTTCCTTTAGTCGAGACTCAAGGTCTAGTCAAGGATTCTCCGCATTGTGAATGAAAGTGAAACAAGTTAGAGATCATCAATCGTTAATCTGGCTAGTGGCTAGGGGGAATCATACCTAAGTGAGTTCCCAACCTGTAATTAGATTAACTTTAACTGTAGTTTGCTAGAGTAGTTTTAGTTCTTTCAACTTAAGCTGTTTTGCTAGATAACGAACTGAAGCTGAGTAATAGTAACTCTAGAGACCCGTGGATTCGATATTTATTACTCGAGCCACTATACTGCAGTCCCTTTCATTGGTTACACTTGGCCATTGTTAGGAGTTGTGTTTTAGCTAGTCAGTTGACCATTCAACTGGTGATTTTTGTGACTGTGGAGCAACTGGTTCGACAGCTGGAGAATTCAGGTCCTCTAGGTAAGCATCTATGCATTCACGGTTGAGCTTCTCTTGGCTGTTTGTGTACAGATTTGACCATATAGCATATGACTCCGTCTGTGACTGGGTGCTTTGTGGCTGTGCTGGTGGTAGTGTTGCTCTTGCCTTCTTTTCATTTCCGTGCACATTCTTTATCACGATTCTTCTTTTGCGAGGCTCTCCTGGTTGATCGGTTGCCGTGTTTGTAGTCAACTTTGTTGGTGTTGTTGGTGTTTGACGGTTGAGAGGGCTGAGATCAAAGGATGGAATGTCGTCTTCCCTTGTCACTTTAGGCTTCTCAACAGCTTCGGTTGTCAGTTTTGGAGCCTCTTCTCGAACAACATCATCTGACACCGTTTTCTCGCTGCCAGTTTCTGCAGTCTTTTGCGCAGCTTGCCCTGTATTCCCTTCTTCTGTTGTTTCCTTATCAACTTCCATTGGATCTGCTGTTTTGGTAGCTCCTTTTTCTTCGGTTTCTTCTGCAGATGTCTGTTCTGGAACTGCTTTCGGGGTGTCCTCTTGTTGTGGTGTTCCCTGATTCAGACCTTCTTCAACAGATTATTCTGGTGGTTCTGTTGCAACTTCCCCCAGTGGATCTCCTTCTTTTGGGATGCTTTCCCTATTCACAGCTCCTGGAGCAGAATCATCTTGCTCCTTTTCTTTTGGCTTCGGTGTAGATGCAGCAAGATCGACTGTAGATGGTTGTGAATCATCTTCTTTCTGTGTTTGCTCCTCGTTCTCCTCTTCGTTCTGGTCTATGTTTGTCTGTTTGAATATTTCATTGAGTGTTTTATTCAAACTGGCATGCATTTCTTCATCATTCTCTTCTTCATCATCTTCACACTGAGATTTTTCTCCTTCTGTGGGCTGAACATATTCATCACAGCTTTCTTTCGCAAGATTCTCCTTGTGTCTGATCAGATTGTCAATTTGGCTTTTGTACTGGTCTTTGATTGCTTTCATCATTGCCTTCATTGATGCTTCAAGCAGTTTGATTGCATTCTCAGCCTGCATAATGGGAGTATGGTTAGTTACCATGGTGGTAATACATGGTATTGACAATTATTATCACTATTCTGCATTTTTTATAACATGAAACTATATCTTACCACACCTTACCATATGGTAACAAAGTAAAACATAACAAGAATTATGGTTTCCTCCATTTTTATAACATGAAACCATTGCTTACCACACATTACCATATGGTAACGTAGTAAAACACAACAGGACTTATGTTTTCCTCCATTTTTATAACATGAAACCATAGCTTACCACACTTTACCATATGGTAACAAACTAAAACACAGCAGGACTTATGGTTTTTTGCTTTTTTACAACATGAAACCATAGCTTACCACACATTACCATATGGTAACAAAGTAAAACAGAACAAGAATTATGGTTTCCTCCATTTTTATAACATGAAACCATTGCTTACCACACATTACCATATGGTAACGAAGTAAACCACAACAGGACTTATGTTTTCCTCCATTTTTATAACATGAAACCATAGTTTACCACACCTTACCATATGGTAACAAACTAAAACACAGAAGGACTTACGCTTAGCATGAATTGGACAACTGTAATATAGATAATTTGTACTTACTTGGTTGACTGTTCTGATATTCTTCAAATCAAAGTTCAGTGATGATGACTGCTCTGGACTTTTGTTTCTTTGTCTTTTCGGTGATTCATAGACTGGCTCATTCTCCTCTTCCTCATCAGCTGCATCATCAGCCTCATCATCAGCCTCATCGTCACTAATGTTGGCAACCTTTTCGATCTCGTTCAACTGTTTTCCATTGTAGTAGCTCTTAATGTTCTCAAAGTTGCTATCAACATTGTTATCATCATAGTAGCTTACTGTTGGTGTTCGAAGATGGGTTGAGAATGCCATTTCGTCTAGTTTGTACATGAAGCATACCTTTTTATGCATATAGTTGTATTAGTTTTTTCAAAGAGTATCATTTATATATAAAATATATGAGTAACAAGGTTGAAATGGCCAAGGGAATGGAGACTTACTGTAAGGAAGTGAAGATCTGCATTGACGTAGAGCGTTGATGATTTCAATCCTTCATTCATGTGGTTGAAGAAGTATTTGCACCAGTTGTAGCTGGTGAAATGTTTCAGTTCATCAGTCTTCAAGTACTCAAGCATGTTGAGTTCAGCCATAGGGGCTGAAGTTGGGCACAGCAAGCCTCCGGTGACCAGCAGAAAGAACAATTGTAACCATCTCTTACTGTTTGTAACTGTAGAAAGATCTTTTTCTACCTGACTTAGCTTTACCTTTGGAGTGGATTTTCCATCTACTTCCAGTAGGGTTTCTACTGCATAATCTGCTGCATCGTCCCAAGAAATCGTGGGAGGTATAACTTCCCTATTCCCCATTGGCAGACCATATACCCTATGAAAGTCGATTGGTGATATCTTCATGCGTGTCCCGTCAGGTAGCTTGAAAGATTGTTTCATTGGATTGTATTTGTTCATTACGAACAGTGCAAAATGGTTGTTTATCTTTGTCTGCTTGATTGATATTAAGCCTGCTAGGCCTAATATCTCAAGTTTCTCTTTCTGGTCATCTTTTATAGTCCTTGCAATTGCAGATATTCTTGTTGGGCTGCACCTTGTGCGAAAATTTTTTCTTTGCTTTACCATAGTGTACCTGAATGTAGAAATTAGGAATAGTCTGTTAGCGTGCTTTTTACCATGATATACCATATGGTACCATAATGGTTTCCTAGCATACCAAATCAAACCATATATTTATCACATTTTACCATATGGTAATTACATCAACCCATGTCTTATAACATATTACCATATGGTAACGAAGTAAAACACAACAGGACGTATGTTTTCCTCCATTTTTATAGCATGAAACCATAGCTTACCACACATTACCATATGGTAACAAACTAAAACACAGCAGGACTTATGGTTTTTTGGTATTTTACAAGATGAAACCATAGCTTACCACACTTTACCATATGGTAATAAACTAAAACACAGCAGGACTTATGGTTTTTTTGCTATTTTACAACATGAAACCATAGTTTACCACACATTATCATATGGTAACAAACTAAAACACAGCAGGACTTATGGTTTTTTGCTATTTTACAACATGAAATCATAGTTTACCACACATTACCATATGGTAACAAACTAAAACACAGCAGGACTTATGGTTTTTTGCTATTTTACAACATGAAACCATAGTTTACCACACATTACCATATGGTAACAAACTAAAACACAGCAGGACTTATGGTTTTTTGCTTATTTACAACATGAAACCATAATTTACCATACATTACCATATGGTAACAAACTAAAACACAGCAGGACTTATGGTTTTTTGCTTATTTACAACATGCAATCATAATTTACCACACATTACCATATGGTAACAAACTAAAACACAGCAGGACTTATGGTTTTTTGCTATTTTACAACATGCAATCATAACTTACCACACATTACCATATGGTAACGAAGCAAAACACAGCAGGACTTATGGTTTTTTGTTATTTTAGAACATGCAATCTTAATTTACCACACATTACCATATGGTAATGAAGCAAAACACAACAGATTCTACATCAGTTCAGCAACGCATGGAGAGTGACTGCGATACTGTTCTATTGTTCTGTGGATGGATTTCGAAGAAAGAAGTGAGGTTTTACCTTGATATTTTGTGCGAAACGATTTTTGAGCCTCGTTGAAGTTGGAAACTCTTCGTTTTTCGACGAAGAAGCGAGAACAGTGTATCGTTGAATGATTCTTCGAAAACCTTTGCGAAAATCGTTCGATTTGAAGTTTTTTCTGGAAGTTTTTGCTGCGATTTTGGTGAGAGAATTGAGAATCGGGAGGAAGAATGGAGAGTTAGAGAGCAGAGAGGGAAGTGGAACTGTCGCTTGAAAGGTGAGAGGAAGAAGGAGAGAAGGCGGGACGGTTGTCGCTGTCACGTCTGCAATTCAAATTGTCAGAGACGTGATTACGTTTTTGCCCCCGCGTGTATTTAATTGGCATGATCTGACGGCTGGGAAGATGGCGCGATGGACGGTCGGATCAACGGTTACTAACCGTTACTGATAGGTTGGTTACTGATAGGATCCGGACCCCAATCTCATCCTTCTCCAGTCTGGTCGTCCAGGCCTTTGGGAGTTATTACCATTGTGTCAAGACTCAAGTGTGATAGAAAGTTCCTAAATAAAAGACATTGATGAATTAGCTCATATGATGGTGAAGACAAAGTGAATTTTTTTTTATGTACATTAGTAGATATACTTTGTATGGATTTTATCAGTTGCAATTGCAAGGGTTGAAATGTTTTTTTTTTTTAACTTTGCATTACATTAAGAACAAGTTTCGAAATCGAATAAACGATTAGTTCACAAATCATTATCTAGTAGAATATATTAAAAGACATTTGTTGACCGCTATAGATTCTGCTTGAGAGGAAGACAAAAATAATTTATAATTTATAGCAACCAAACAAACACCAAATTCTAGATGGTTTGCTATATATGTGGTCTATCCAGATATCTGATATACATTAACCAAAAAAACATTATACAACAAAATCAATCAATATATACGCAAAGTATATATATATCAATCACACTCAGTATAGCTAGCTTTGGTTGCTTGGTCTCTTCTGGCGATGAGATATAGCCCTCAAAGTCCTGTACATCTCCGAACAAGCCAAAGAGACATCGCACATTGCCCTGAACAACTCGGGAAGACGAGTCTTCAAGCTCGCCAACGACTTCTCCCTCACCTGAAGGCACAGCCTCTGGTATGCCTCTTCCTCTTCCTCCAGCTGCTTCTTAACAGCGTCCACAGTGAACTGCCTCTCAGCAATCGCCTCCTTTATGTTGTTCTCGGGCCTCTCCGGGTCCAGCTCCTCTGGAGTTCTCTTCTGCATGTACTTATTGTACCAGTCCTCAAACTGCCTCGTTTTCCTAGCAAGATCTTTCCGGGTTTCTTCGCACTTCTCCTTTAGCTTCATCTCTTCTTCCTGATGGTGCATAATTGTTTCTATCACCGCGGCAAAGTTGCTGATTGCTGTTCTTGCCACCTCGTCGGGGAGCTTGTCCATGTAGTCGTGCCATGCCATGAGCAGGGGTTGCACTGGAGGGGTTTGGATTCTTGGTGGGGAAGATACTTTTTCTTTCAGGCTGCTCTCAATAGGGACGAGATTCTGCTTTAGCCAGCTGTTGAGGGACTTGATGTATGCTTTCTGGTTGTCGATTAAGCCGCAGAACTGTGCGTGCCATTCACGTACAACTGCCCATAGTTGATAGGTACGGTCGTGGTGGTGCTCGCTGGTTTCCTTCGGAGATTGGGAAATGTCGAGAGATCTCAACGCATAGACTATCTTGGACTGTGCCTCGTGATGGACTCGCATAGCATCCCACATTATTGCCATCCTGCATTTACAACCCACATGGTGGGTGAACAGAGTTAGCTAGTTATTCATCTCAAGCTCTACCAATTCCCATAGTGTTCAACTCTCTGACCAAGATAACTTATTATCTATGCATTCAGCATCTCCACAATAAAAAAAACACAGGCTTCTGTATGTAACTTACCCATCAACTAGCTGGACAAGTTTTGGGTATAGCTGATCATCACGTAGGCGATTTATCTCCAAAACTGTGGAATCCATTGATTGCATATCTACAATGTACCTTGTGTGCAGGTGACTCACAGCTGCTTTTAATTTCTCAAGGGACTCAGGATTGGAGCCCCGTTTCTTCTGCTTATTCAGTAAAGCTACCTTCTTTTGGTACTCAAACTTCATAACTTCACCTGCCTATTCAGCGGCAAGACATGATCAACCATGTCGATATTTTAAGAACTCATGGAATGCAAAAAATGTTGCATAGCAGAGTAATCAAATTTGAAGAGAAACAACGATCTACCATGACGACGCAAGGAAAAAAGACCACAATATAACACTTCCACTTCATCATCAACAAAACAAGTTTAAAGTGAAATTCTGTTATCGTGAAATCCTGCTCCTTACTAGTCTTGCATGGTAATGAAATACTTAAAACATATGCATTACATTAGTAGAAACAATGCATCAGAACTCTAAGTAACCAATTCGCAAAAACCTACAGTCCTAACACAATATTACAATCCTTTGGATGGGGCTCCAGAAAAAGAGTTCAAATATGCAGTAACTTCTGAACTTACTGAGGAAAAACAATTAAGAGAAGGACAATGTGAATTGTGAAGTGAATCAGTGACACCAAGTCCAGACACTCTAGAATTATCAAAGAACAGAACATGGTAAAAGAGACTTCTTGCCGTCAGTTAAGGTGGACTCGGGCACCAAATTAACTGGGCAGCAGACAATTAAATAGAGAGATTATGGAAGAACAAAGAACTGTTAGGAAAAAAGGAATTGTACCTTAACTTCATCATACAACTTCTTCTCCCAAGCTAGCATCTTATCCAGGACAGTTGCAAGAGTTTCATGCTCCTCTGAATCAAAATCGTCATTCCCATCATATACATTAGGAATGCCTTTAAATGACCGATTCCATGTAATGACTCGCATCACTCGGGCAGAGTGATCAATATGGCCTGCAAAATGTCCAGCATTGATACAGAAGATCACTACAAACAGATGACTTCAGCCAATATTATCATAGTAAGTAAACACCGTAAACACCAATAAGAAGCTAATCCACAGATTTGTAATGAGCAAAGGATTGGCCCAAAGAAGGTTAAACTTTTACCCCGATTATCAGCAAAATTGGAGTGATAATGCAATCTCGTGGCCTCGAGCATCTTGGAAACCCCATGAGCACTCTCGTAAGCAGCTAAGAAATGATTGTCCAGCTCCCCAAATATCTGCATTAAGCTCAATCCTTTCATCATTCTCCTCCCTGCTTCATCTCCCACACTGACCTTCTTCGAGGGCTTCTTCTCTACCACTGGAATCGGCACAGGCACCTCCACTGCCTTCTCGACCTTACCCATATCCGGCATTACAACCGGTTCCTCTTCCACCTCCGCCACTCTCTTAGCCTTTTCTTCAAACACCTTACGCGCTGCGATCTCTTCCTTCATCCTTATCTCTTCCTCCTCCTCCTCCTCCTCCTCCTCCACCGGCTCAGCCAGAGTCGGTCCAGGCATGCTTTCCACGGGCGGGAAAAAGTAGTCCCACGTGGTCTCCTGATGCGCAATAGGAGGCGGCCGCATAGCCTCTTCCTGCCTCCTCCTCTGGGGCACCGCCTGCTGCTGCGGCGGCGGCATCGGCGGTTCCTTCTCCATGTAATGATTGCTACTACCAGTACTTCTACTCCCACCCCGCTTCCTCACCAACTTCTCTTCCTCCGGCGGCTCGAATTCCATCTCCTCGTCCTCAATTATAGTCGGCCCCACCGGCTGCTTCATCTCCGGCTTCAGGATCTTCATCTCCGGCATACTCGCGGCCCGCTGCAGCGGAGTTCCTTGGAAATTCGGAGTCCCTTGATACTCTGTCGGCAGCGGTGGAGGCGGGAGAAGCGTGTCGAACGGAGCCTGCGGAGGAGGTGGGGCAGGCGCTGCTACGGGGAAAGCTGAAGAGGAGGAGGAAGAGGGGATCGCGGCGGCGGCAGGGGTGGATAACGACGGAGGGACCTCGCCGTGGGCGAAATCGCTGAGCGCGGCGCCGGTGTTCTTGAGAGACATGGCGTAGGCGGAGTGGGCGGCGGCGAAGGCGTTCCGTGCAGAGACGGCATCTTTCATGAACTGCTTCCGCTCTTTGCAGCGGGTGACTGCTTCTTCGTTCTCGATCTTGGACTGTGAGCACCCCATCGTCGGCGAGACGACTCCCTTTGACTTCGATTGCGCCGATTGTCTCGGTGTCGGCGACGGCCGAGGAAGAGGAGGGGAAATTCGGGTTGTGGCGGAAGAATTGGGGGAAACTAGTTGTTTCCCTGGAATGGCGGTGACGGTGATCGCGATGATATGTGATTCGATATTGATGATGAGGAAAGAGAAAAAGAGGAAAGTGATCGAGAGTCGAGACGAAAGCACAAGTAATAATTGTGGGAGTGAAATGTAACTGTGGGGAATACTATGCTCCTTTTTAGTAATAGTTAATTCTCTGGGTGATGATTTGCTAATTCGGAGGAACTGCCGTGTTAAGGGGAATTAGGCGTCGGTTTATGCAACCAAACGAGATGGGAAATGACCAAGGTTGTTAAACCCCTAAACAGGGAGAAGAAGAGAGGCGGAAGAGAGGAAAAGGAACGAAGAAAGGGAAATGGTAGGTGGATCATGGAGGTTAGGTAGATTCAGGGGCGGAGCCAGGATTTCGAGACCGGGGGGGCCGAAAATAATTAAAAAAAAATTATGTAACCAATGTGGATCGAACCCATGTGCTATAATACACAAGTTAAGCTTGACTACCATTAGACCACATAACTATTTGATCATATAATTTACAGAACATGTTCTACTTCTAAAATTTGTACGAAATATCTTTAAAAACCTAGGGGCCGGGATCAATCCCGGGGGGGCCGGGGCCCACCCTAGCTACAATGTAGCTCCGCCCCTGGGTAGATTTATTTTGTTGAAAATAAGTTTTTAATAGATATATGTAAGATGAATTTTATTTCACTCATTAAATTTTTAATTACTACTTTATTTGTATATATATTTAGAAAACGTATAAACCGGCTCAAACCGGCTGGACCCCGATCAGACCATTAAACCTCAAACTCCTTGCTTGACCGGCTCAATGACTTAAACCGGTTTGACAACCTTGGAAATGACAAAGGCGTCGGGATTGAGAAAAATGTCGGGATTGGAAACGGTGATTTTTGGGGTGCTCAGATCCCTAAACAAAACAATTATATTTTTGTGGTAGAGTGAAGGTGATTAATCATCTTCTTATTATTTCAGAAGATAAAAGAATGATAACCTATTGTAAACTAAACCAGTGCGTGTTGACATTATTCAATAGTATTTTTGTACATTCTTAATTGTGAAACACAATGTCGATATTTTCTGGCTCTAGTTAGAGTGTATAACTATTAGTAAATAAATTTGAACCCATCTTTTTAAGTGGGTTACAGATCTAAGGGTAGAAAATTGAAAATATTTTATTTTTTCTTGTTTTCTTAATCGGTTCTTTGGTTTGAATCGAATTTTAAATTTTTTGCACTGACAGAACGAGTTCGTTGTGCTCTACAAAATAAAATCTATTTTCAATATCTTTTGAGAAAAAAATTTAATGTCTCTCGTTACCAACATCATACCATATGGTATCATCTTCGTTTTTAAGTCATGTTTGAAAATTTTGCACAGAAGAAACGAGTTCATCATGATCTATTGGATCTACAAATTTCTGGATGAACAAAATACAGGCCAAAAAAATACCACACAATACCACCCTGGTACGGGGTGGTATCTTGTGGTGCACAATGTTGAAAGTCGTAAATGACAGTTGGTATATTCCGACTATCAGGTATCTTGTGGTGCACAATATGCTTTTCATACCATGTGTTATGCTCTTATTTAATATTAGTCAATACCATATAGTATAGACTGGTAAAAATGGCTCAATTTTTTTTGCTACAAAAATATATCAAAGTGGATATCATTTTGAAAAACACAAGAAATATGATCTAACTGTGCAAAAAAAAAACGACTTAAAACGAGTGAGAAATCGACCGTTAAAAATTAAAGGGGGAAATTAAAGACTTTACAGGATAGAGAATGAGCGTTGATGTAGCGGATGGTGATTAGGTTATGCATGATTACTCACCACAAAGTTATGCATGAGATCCGTTCCCATATTTTCCTCCGTGCTAATTCAACAAATGGAAATGTACGAGAGTATTATTGAACAACATCATCAAACTCTAATCACCCTCTCTAGATCAGCATAATTAGGAGTGGAAGTTTGAGTTCCGGGTTGGGGATAATCGGCAAACCGCACCAACCCGCACCCATTGTGAGTAACCATACCCACAAGTTATAGGTAGTGGGTTGGATGTGGGTAGCAAAATAATAAATTTTGTGATTAGTGGTTGCCCTCTATCCACCGCGGTTAACCCAGAAATTCATAATGACCACACTAATTATATTTATTTGCTAATAATACTTTATAATATAATAGTATATGAAAAGTGGGAGGCATAAAACTAAAGTAGTCACATAATCAAAACACTATAATCGAGAGAGTGGAAAATAATCGACTCATTAAAAGTTGGCACCTTTAGTAACTTTTATCTGTATGTTTTTGCTTTTGTGTGGAAGAAAATCCAAGATCATATATGAAATCACAGCTCCCTGACACAAAGTTAATACCAAACTCGAAAAGAAAAAATCTCCACGTTAAGTAAGATCGATATAAAAACTATGGGTAAATTGCAAGGTTGGTCACTGAGATTACTAAAAATGTTCATGTTTGGTCACTGAAAATATTTAATTCCATTCATGGTCACTAGGTTTAGTAAAACATTTCAAGTTTGGTCACTCTCCGTCCAACTCCGTTAACTTTAGCTGATGTGGCAGTCAACTCTCAAAATTGACCGTTAATTGTGTGACGTGGCAGTTTAAAAATAATAATAAAATTAATTTTTAAATATTCCACCTAATTATCAGTATTATTAAAGAATAAAAATAAAAACATAATTCTTCTATTAGTCATTTTCTCTTTCTTATGGGAATCCAATTATCAGATCTGGAAATTTTTTCGTTCTCTCTTTATTCTGCCGGTATCCTTCTCCACTTCTCCTTCCATGGCGAAGCGAGCAGCAATGAGCAGTGGGACGACGGTGGCTTGGTGGTGGAACGGCGACAATGATCAATGATGGCCTGGCTGATGCCACGATCACAACCGCCGCCATTTTCATTCGATGATTCTGCCACCGCTCACAAACATCTCATTAATGAATGAAGCAAAGAAGCGAAGGGAGGCTAGTAGAAGGAGGTAGGTTAGGTAGAGACGATAGGAAATAGAGGCAAGGTCGGCAGTAGGCGGAATCATCCATTCTCTATCACCGCCGCTGCAAAAATCCCCTCTATGCCAAAAAAAAAAAACCCTAATTTCTTAGAGAGATTCCTCTCTTACGATTCCGGTGCTTTTCTTCCTTCCTTACCCCAAAACACAATCTCTCTGTTCTTCAACTATAGCCTAGACTTGGAGCTTTTGTTCTCCCCCAGGGTCGGAATTATGTTTCAAGCGAGAACGGGATAGGAGAGAAACGGTGGAAGCGGCGGTGGGCGGCGGCTCTGCGATGTTTTGCTGAGGTCTGGAGGGTAATTTTTCGGGACGGATTCTGTCCCAGCCGTCAGAATTGTAGCTTGGCGGAGAGCTGATTTTTCCCGGCGTCATCTGATCTGAATCCAGCGTTAGCTGGTTCTTTTTTTGGTATCTTTCAACTGAAGAAATTACATCAAGTTCCCCGGCAAAAGCTGGTGAGATTCCAGTATAGTATTTGAAAATTGAAGATCGCCGCCCGCACCGTGTCCACCATGAAGACGTCCTCGTCGCAATTGAAGACCGCCGCCACCGCAAGGCCAAAGAGATGGAAGAAGGAGACGATTTGGGTATTTAGTGGAGCCTAGGAAATTATTCCCCCTATTTGTAGTGGAAATGAGCTGGAAATTCAAAAGATAGATTTTAATTTTTTATTATTTTTAAACTGCCACGTCACACATTTAACGGTCAATTTTGAGAGTTGACTGCCACATCAGCTAAAGTTAACGGAGTTGGACGGAGAGTGACCAAACTTGAAATGTTTTACTAAACCTAGTGACCACGAATGGAATTAAATATTTTCAGTGACCAAACATGAACATTTTTAGTAATCTCAGTGACCAACCTTGCAATTTACCCAAAAAACTATATCTCCACGAACGACACAATTATATATCTCCATAGTCTTGCTACGAATAACAAATACGTTGGTGGTGGCCTCAACTCCATACTTACAAATGTGCATTTTTTAACCACACCCATGACCCAACCCGCACCCACAGTGGGTAGTGGTTACCCATGAACCACTGCGGTGTTGGTTGTGGATAGCATAATTTCAAATTTGTAGGTGCAGGTACCCGCAAAATGTGGGCAGGTAACCACACCCGCCCAACTTCCACCCCTAAGCATAATAGTGGGGTAGACTAAACAGAAATGTCTAGTCATACAATCTATCCGAATAGCGCTAAAACTTGGATGAAAAAGATAGAAAAAGCAATTCAACTCATATGTTGAATGAAAACAGAATTATTGTTCGATCATGCAACTCACAATTCAACCATTTAAACATATACATGAAAAAGATAGAAAAAGCAATTCAACTCATATGCTGAATGAAAAAAGAATTATTGTTCGATCATGCAACTCACAATTCAACCATTTAAACATATACACATTATTTATTGTGAGCAAATAGGGTACAAAACTCCAATTTGTAAAACCCGATCTTATAATCGTATCACGACATGTATGATACGATAATACGATATCGTGATATAATGATACAACCAGAGTTTTGATGATTTTATAGGCCATCACATAAATGATGAATCAGCATCCACGGACACTTACCTAATCCAACATGATTAGCAAAACCTAGAAAAAGATAAAGAGTGGGTAGTGTTTAAAATGAAGGTCAGTCAAACTTGTTCTTCGAGAATCTCTCTTTTTTAGCTTTGTTATTCATATGATGATGATAGCTACCCGGAAACTTATTTCACAAGGCAGATCTAGTAAACCTGAAAGCAAAAGATGGCTACGATTCTGCTCATATTTCAGTGATGGCGGCTTAGAAAAAGAGGAAAAAGGATGGACACGACAAAGAAAAAATGGGAAGAGGACTTCGAATTTGGAGGGGTTTTTTTAGTTGGCGAAGGAGAATTTCTGAGTCTAGTAATTTGCACTTTTAAATTAGGACGGTTATAATAAAATTAGGATGACATTTACCCGCACATGTTTTCTTAGCCTTGCTACAACTTTCATGATTCTTCTTCTACCTTCTTCATTTCAAACTACTTAGTATCTATTGTAGGATGTTTTTTATTGACAAACTGCATTATATTCATATAGAAAATGAGCATGTTGGGCCTAAACTCAAACCTGTAAAACACAATTGCAGCTGGCTGAGGAGGGGAGACCCATTTGAGCAACATAGACTTGCACAACCAAAATGGACAAACCAAGAATAATGGGTAGAAGCTATGTCCCTTTTGTCTTGGCTAGGCTCTGCTCCCCACAGGCCACAGCTAATAAGTTCCCTTTTCTTTTCATTTCCTTTTCAGCACTTTCTTCTTTTGCTTTCTTCTCCCCTGTTTCTGCCATTTTCCCTTCTTTTGCAGAGGTTTTAAAGTGCCTTTAGCACCGGCCCTCCACCCAAACATGTGCTCCCTCTTAGAATTTTTCCTGTTGTTTCATGAAGAGACTGTCAGATTCACGACAGTTCAAGGCCAACAGAGCAACTCAGGAACCTTACCAACTGCATGCATTTGCATGAATTCAAGAAAACTCGAGCTGAGAATTCTGAGAGCGGGGCGATTTATGTGTCTGTTTATCATATTTAATTTCCCAAAGCTCTAAATCATTTCCTCTCTCGTACTCCCGGATGTACTTTGGAATTCGGGACAGGTCGATGCATCTGCCCACAAATGGAGAGCAGGACTCAAGTTCCTCCTTACATTCTACATCGTTCAAGTATATCGGAGCATTTAATGAAGTGGCAATGGTGGACAAGTAAACACAATCAGAGAATGGGAAGATATTCGCTGATGATTACCTTCTTCGCTCCTTACATAACTCCGGAAATGAGAGTAGCCATTCGCCACGATATCAAGGTCACCGAGGCTGAAATTGTAGCGCTTCTCCAAGGCCAAGTATAAAACCTGCAGCGCAAGGAATAGAGAAAATTAATGACGTTGTAAGTAAGCGGCAAATAACAAACTTCATGTCCTTAAGCACAAACACAATTTTCCTGATGAACTTGCATAATGGGTGGTATAAACAGATACCGACTATCATGTCTTCAATGTCAAGCCCCATAGGTTTGAACTGTTATCACTTATCAACATAAATCAGGGGAGAGTTCCATGTCCATCCTACTTCACTTTTCTACACATTCATCTTTACCCAGAATGTTAGTTAGTATTCCGGTCACCTTCTCTGAACCCAATGACATCAGTGTCTCCAGCAAGCCAAAAAGAGCATCAGTCAGATCATCACTGTATATTACATCTGCTGCTAGAAGGACAGAAGCATTCTCAGCTTCTTCAACTTCGGATGAGGTCCACCAAACCCTACGTGGACGAGATAAAAGAGAGTGATTTCACAAGCTAAACTTTATCCAAATGAGGCAATAGGCATGCTAATAAATATATATGCAGCAAGGTTGATGACTGGATTCGTCAATAACCAATTCCATCAACAACTTTATGGGAAATAACAAAAGCCCAAGAAGTTTTACCTTTCATGTAAGGAATCATTTCTCGGTCTCACAATGGGGGGCCAGGAATTTGTCCAATCGAGTTCGCGTACATTGATTGAACCTTTATACTGCAACACGTTGCGATTAAGATGAACATTCCTTCCACAATTAGCTAGGATTTTATGACCACGATCTGTAGGCAATTGCACATAGTGACAGAGGGTAGTTGAAGAACTATTGGACATGTCTGAACTCCCTATTTCTCAAACATTCCTCAACATTTATAACAACAAAAGGACAAGACTTTCAGACTACCAGCTAAGGATGCTCATGTCCAGTGGTTCATTAACAATCTACATTTTTGGCATCAGCAAGCATTTTTAAAGACTCTTGAAAAGGAAGGAGCAAATTTGAAGAAACAAAGTTGGCAAAAATATTGAAAACATAGAGTTACTATGGACTAGAATTCCCTATAAAAATCTCAGACGTGGATACCACTGGCACATAGGGGTGAAGACATACAGAAATTAGAACAGATTTAGGATAATCCACATGATATCCACTTGTCTTCCATATTGCGACGAGCTAAAGTGTGACCAACATTAGACACAACAAACCAGGTAATTTTCATGAATCTGCTTAAGAACAATATCCTTACAAAGAGACCAAAAGACGAATCACCATAAAGAATGTTCACAATTGGAAGACCACCAAGCCTTACCTGTCAGGAAAACTGTTTTAGCCACGTGTCCAACCAGCATACCTACTAGTCCTGTTTCAGAAGGCGAAAGAAACTCCTTTCACAATGAATACCGCTTCATATCAAGCATCAGAGTTTCTAATGCGGTTCATAAAAGACTGACAAAACCTACTCAAGAAAGATAACAACTTCAGGTAATCACGTGAATAAGCTTCCAGGGGAAGGAAAACATATATTTATTTTTCCTACAGTTCATTTCACTGGGTACTCAACACTTATTGTTGCTCGCCTCCTGCCTGTCCTCTTACATACTGCCATTTTCTTGCAATAGCTTCATGTTCTAATGACATGCATCATACACGAAACAAGACCTAAATCCTCTTCTAAGAGAGTAGCTTCTTAGAGGCCAACCAATCCTAAGAGATATGACATCATAACTTATCAAGAATCAAAGTTTGGTATCTGTTCACAAAACAAACAAACAAAAAACAACAGGATAGGAAAAAGGAGATCATAGGGCCAGTGAAAAAGATGGCAGAGCTACACAGCAGTTATGGCTTCTCATAGTAAGCAGTATCAGCATCACAGCCATAAACAAACTGTTCTGATATAAGCAAATAATATTGAACCTGTCCCAGCTCCAAGTTCTAACGAAATAATCCCATCGAATTCCGAGTAAAAAAGCATTTTATGCAGCACGAAATCTGACAATACTAGCTCAGCCTTCCAAACCTGAGAGTCGAAGAACCAGATTGAATGAAACAATTCAACCAAACGTCGTAACAAGTTCGTGTTAACACATTTCGGTCACCTGTAAACCAACACCCCGTATTGATGACGTGATAATATGCTGGATAGCGAGTTTAACATTCCCGCCATCTGCACAGTTAAATGCAAGCAAGATGAAGACTAAGGCATAACAAAAACGAGACTATAACCAAATTAAGGAAACCTACCCTGATAGCTGCTACGTCTGGTCAAAACAAGATCACCATCATCATCTACGTCCAAAGGCTTATCCATCGGAACTTGCTCTCTTCTTTTGAACAGACCGCTACAGCTGCAGCTGTCAACACCTGAATACCCCAAGAGGAGTTGGATTTTTACATCAGAAAATCCTTATCCCTTCTTGCCTGTAACCCGTTCGATGAAATGCTTGAAAGAAAGGGGGAAAGAAATGAAATTACCGGTCGGGATTGGGATTGGGATTGTGAAATGCGTAACATGAAGGGCAGAGGAATTAGATGGACACCCAAGATGCACCTCGCTCGTCACATCCTTCTCCTCCCCGAAATCCTCGCCGCCGCCGTCCATTCGCTTCATGGAACTATGTCGCCACCTTTCTTCCCGCTCGTCAAGCCATGATAAATTGAATTCCAGAGTGTTAATATGTATTAATCGGTAGTTTGGATCAAGAAAAGAGAGGCAGAGATTTGATTAGTTCCCACGTTTGGATAGCTCTAAAAATAACATAGATTTGGAAAAAATCCCAGAATACGCTAGTTATTAAAAAAAATTCCCTAAATACAGTACTTATAAAAGTAATTCCCAAAATACAGCAGTTTCAACATCACTGTCTTTGTCTAAGACAGTGATGTTGATCACCGCTTTTGTCCAAAGCAGTGAAGCAGCGGGGAACGCATCACCGCCTTGGACAAAAGCGGGGAATGCATCATCGCTGTTGTCAAAAGCGGTGATACGTTCCCCGCTTTTGTCAAAGGCGGAGATGGTATCCCCGCTTTTGACAAAGGCGGGGAACGTATCCCCGCTTTGGACATCAACAGTGAAGCCATCACCGCTGCCATCCACAACAGTGATTGCCTCCACGTTTTACACAGCCCTGGTAGGTGGAGAGGTAGGTAACAGCTACCTAGCCATCACCGCTGTTGACTAAGGCGATGATGGCTTCACCGCCTTGGTCAAAAGCGGTGATTAGCTCCCAATTTTTCCTATAAAAACCCACGCCCTCTTCCCTCCTGCTGCCAAACAGAAAATTAGTACAAAAATTATCGTTTTGTTAAGTCGTTTTCGCAGCTGGTTCCTCCGTAGTTTACTGCTCAAGAAACTCGTCGGGATTCGGTACGTTAGAATTATGTATTGTTTACATTTTGATTATGTGCTAGAATTAGGTATGTTAGAATTATATATTTAGATTAATTATGATATGATATATGTTAGTTAGTTAGTACTGAATTTAGATTAATTTGTTTAGTTTTCTCATGATAGATCGGGATTGAGTATGTTATAAGTATGTATTTTTTACATGTTGATGTGTTAGTAATTATACTGTCTGTATTTAGTGAATTGCGGTTATTGGAAAATATGTTATGATATTATTTAGTTTAATTATGATATGATAGATGTTAGTTAGCTAGTTATGAATTTAGATGAATTTGTTTAGTTTTCTCATAATATATCAATTAGTTGCATTTTATTATCGCTTTGGATGATATTGTTTTTGTATCCATAATGTACTAATTATATACTATACTTAATTATTATAAATTGCAGACATGGTTAAATTTAAGAAGTTTCGGCTTATTATTTATTGGAATGGTCGGGTGACAAACTCGAACATTGGGATCGACTATGAAGATGGCGAATCCAGTATGCTTACAATTGAGTCGAGATTCTCGTGGCAAGAACTCCATGACAAGTGTGCAGAAAGGACTTGTACAGGCGGGCAAATGAGAGTTCGTCAAATTACTTACCGGTATCCCAACATGAGTGCTGACGGAGTCATGTACGAAACACCTGGCCAGTTATCACCGCCCCAAACAAACACAGCGCCATCACCGCCTTTGTCGGACGCGGTGATGGTCAGGGATCGCTGACGTGGCCTCTCCTGATGCGTCGGATTGTGGAGAAAAACCACAATCCGCGCATAACTGCATCCGACGGCAGCGGTGAAGGCGCGGGGTGGGGCGCGGATCGCTGACGTGGAAAGCGGGGCTATCACCGCTTTGGTCTTCAGCGGTGAAGTGCCCGCGCACGTCCACGTCAGCGATCCGCGCCCCTTCACCGCTGTTGGATCCAACGGTGAGGGCTTCACTGCCTTCCACATCAACGGTGTTGCCATCACTGTCGTCCTTGACAGCGATGATGGCATCACTGCTTTGGTTTAAAGCGGTAATAACATCACTGCTTTTGTCTAAAGCGGTGATGTATCATCGTTTTAGACCAAAACGGTGATCAACATCACTGTCTTAGACAAAGACAGTGATGTTGAAACTGCTGTATTTTGGGAATTACTTTTATAAGTACTGTATTTTGATAATTTTTTTTAATAATTGGTGTATTCTGGGATTTTTTCCCATAGATTTGGGCCACCAAAAATTTAAAATTCGGCTCAATCCGGAATTGAAAATTTAAAATAACATATATTTGGGTCATGGTTGTCAAACCGGTCTCATGCCGGCCGGTTCAACCGGGTTCAACCAGTACCGGTCACCAAACCGGCTGGAAAGAGGCCGGTATTTAACTGTGGTAAAATCCGGTCAATGCCGGTCAGACCCGGTCAATGCCGGAAATTCCGGCCAGTTAGACCAGAAACCGAAATTCAATGTTACACATATTTTATCCAAAAATACACACCCTTCTTAGGATTTGAACCAATTACCTCATGTTCATTTTAGACTCTCTTATTCACCAGTAGGCTACAAGCAACTTTGTTGTACATATTAATCTTATATATTATATATCTAACACTAAATTTTACACAAATCATTATAAATATTAATAAAATTCATTTTATATAATTTTATTTTTAAGCATCTAATTGTTTAGTATTGGTTACCAATTCTTAGCTATAAATTATTTTGTGTGAAATAATTTTTCTAATTGCTTTTTGATGACTAATTTATTTGGAATTGAGGATTTCCATTTGTCTCATATATTTTATTAAAACCGGCACAACCGGCATGAATACTGGTTGTACCACGGTCGGACCATTCCACTTTCAAAACCGGCACACCGGCATAAACCGGTTTGACAGCCTTAGGCCCTAAATATTCTCTATATTTGGCTCGGCTTTTAAAAGTGTTTTTCGACTTTAAAAGCTGAAGTAGGGCTAAACACCTCTAAAAACTCGGCTTTTGAAAAGCCGAAAAGCACTTTTGTATAACATAAAAGCAGAAGCTCCGATATAAAAAAAATACAAGATTATTCTTACCATATTTTAATTTTATTTCAGAGAATATATGTTTCCTTAATTTATATCATTTGAAAAATAGAAGAAATTATAAAATCATATTATTTAATATAAAAGAAATCTAACAAGATCCATTTTCACTACTTTTTATTGTTTAGAATTTTAATTCATATATTATATTATAAGTTCTTTATAGTCATTTTACACAACCTCTCATATTAAAAAGCACTTATAATAGTTTTACAGTCAAACACTCAACTGTTTTTTTTTTAATTTTAAAGTACTAATCTGAAAGCTCCAGCCAGAAGCTGCTTCTGCAAAAACTACAGCAGGACCAAACTAAGCTTTAAAATCCAACCTTAAGTTTTGGGGTTCTTCCAAACGTGTACTGCTATTTTTTTGTTATTCCTTTATACCCTTAACCACAATTCTACAAACATAACTCTCATTCTTCCCGGCTGTGAGAAGCCTCTCCCCAAACCTACAGTCCCGATAGTAAGAAGTTGTAGATCTCGGCTAGAGGAGGACGCACAGTGCCTCTTGAGTCTTGATGGTGAAGGAAGCGAGAGTGAGCGACCTCACTTGAGCTTCCTCAACAGACGAGTCTACTACAACAAGATACCAGGTTCGTCACCTTCACCTTCTGGAGTCTGGTTCCGATTCCATGGTTCCTACGGTGCCCGATTGTGTTGCTCGATTCGAGGGGTTAGGGGTTACGGAAGGAATCGAGGGGTTAGGGGTTAGGGAAGGAATTGGTAGTACATAGCTTTTCCGGGCTTCCCTTTTGCAGGTTCTCTCCTCTGTTTTTCTTCTTTTGAATCACCATGGGTTTCGTTGTTTTTTATCTAGATATGTGCGATATTTTCATGGAACCATTTAGAGAACAGAAAAGTGCAGAGAAATCGAGGAAATCGTCAAGCCCGGGAATGAGATTGTAGAAACAATTGATACTTTAGCTAGAACAGAGAAAAGGGATGGTGGTCGGGGATTCGAACAAGACGAGCCAGAGACGACGGAACGCCGTTGGAGGTTATACGAGGAAGATGGAGAAAGAGACGACGGAGGTCCTCCCGATTTGAAGTTGGTTGATGCAACTCTAATTTGTTTGGGGAAGACAAAGACTTTCAATGGGAGTAGTGTGAGGGAGATCGGAGAAAGCAACGGAAGAGTGAAGAAGCCGGTGAAGGGTGTATTTGTAATTTCTAGAATTGCTGTTAAATTCTCTAATAATAAATCTCTCATCCATAAACAAACAAAATATTTAACCAAAACCTGGGTTTAAAATACTGAGATTTTTAATTGAGTCATTGAGCGCGAAATCGCTCATTAGCTAAATTCTTAATCCAAACGACCCCAATAAGAATTTTCCATAATTATTATTAACCTCAGTGGTATTTTATCAAGAGACCATATACATAAATATTACACTATTTTCTTTCTCTTTTATTTCTTTAATCATATTGATACATTATATCTACTTTTATTTAATCTCCAAAAGCCACATATTTTCCTTTTCCTTTTATTTATTTTCCTTTTTTCATTTCTTTTAGTCACATGAACTTTTTATTTTCCAAGGAAAAAATTAAATGTATCTCATTAAAACGTGCGTCAAAAACAATAAGAGACTCTTTACAAGTTGATGAGATCCACTACTATACTACTACAACTCTACTCTTTGCATACCTTGTTTTTTTCTACTATCTCCTTATATTATTTGCAGTCCAACCTTCTCCAAGTCATCATCAATATACAGTCTTCCACCAGCAATACAGTTGAGTTCACTGATTTGCAAAGTTGAAGTTATAATCCTAGGGTCATATTCCACAAGGTCTTCTAATGCATAACTACTCACAACATACCATCTTAGAAACACATATAAACGATAGAGACATTTATGGGTTTTTATTCAAAACAAGCAAGGAAAAGTAAGCGGGAAGAGTAAAGTTGTTTAGGATTTTCGATTTATAGATGCATAAAAGTAAGGATATGCTACTATATAGGAAAGCGAATCTCGAATAGTATCATGCATACTAAAGCTCAATCACATCATGCATCAATTACTCATTTATAGCATAACTCTATCTCTTCCACTAAGACCATTCTCTACCCATGCATAGATCATCATAAGCACCATGTTATCTCATTTCTAAGCATACTAGCTATCATCATTCATTCAAAACATCGATTGTGCCTAGCGTAGGCAAAAAATTAACAGGAAAAGTCACTCCATTTCTCAAGGAATTTTAAACTTTAAATCTTCAATCGAAGTCTTAAATTCGTGATTCAAGCTCCCAAATTCATCTAA